AAACTCAGTAATCTCTTTTGCCCATTTCCAAGTAGTGGACAATTTTCTCCAGCATTACTATTTTTAAAAATAATTATGTTGGTGGGATAAGCAATATAATTGCAGAAAGAGCCTTATTCTATGTGCTGCAATATTAGGACAAACCACAAGGAGGCATTTTTTTGCACTAGATGGTAACCGGGACCAATGATTAAGTCAGGGTCACTGTTACTAAGTTTTGGAATAAATTGATCTGACAATGAATTTTCTTAACTCTAGAAGTAGATGCCAGAGGAGGTGAGCAAAGTATTTTTCCTAAATTAAAAGAGAATAGATATTACTTGTTGGCTCACTATTTTGAGTGTGATATATTGCCACAAAATATTCTCAAATCTGGAGATGTGCCCCAATTTCTCCAGATAATTAAATTTGGAAAAAAATAAGAGAGCACAGAACATCTCATGAACTAAGAAAGGTCAAGGTTTGAGAAAACAAATGCTTACAAGGGCAAGGCAGAGATGTGGAATAAAGTAGGCTGGGTATGATACAGCACACAGTAGGGGAACTGTGACAAATTTGGAAGCTCATGCCCCATCTAAAGAGAAAGACTACTGTTTAGGTCCAACTAAATGAAAATAGAGACCCCAAAATGCCATATTCTAGGATTTTTTTTTCAAGAGAAGAAAACCAAATTGTTCTATGGATTCTCCTATTTGTTTTTTTCTGAATGCTGGTCACTTAACAACAATAACAACAAAAATTAAACATGATGTGTCTTCCCTTCCTCCCTCCAAAAAAATTTGCTAAGAGAAATTTCTAGACTCCCTCTCCCATTTGAAGCCTGTTGAAGGGGCAAGTTCTGAGAAGAGTGTGATTGTAGAAGCAGTGACAAGAATTGAACAGTAGAGATGAAGAGATAAATGATAAGAATTTGTAGACTACATACCTATGAGCCCATTGGGAGTCACCAGAAATGGATGCTTTGGGAGGAAGGTGAACTTTCCATAACAGAAAAAACTGTGGACATCAAAGACCAGTTTTATCATTTATTGTTCTCTTCATCCCCCACCTTAATGTGTCCAGTGCTGAGTATACTGAAGGAAATCAATGAATATTTGCTCATTGAGTTGTCATTCAGATAACAAGTCAAGTGGAAGGATCAATATAATAACTTCAATTTTATAACTGTGTGTGTGTGTGTGTGTAGTCTTAATTTCTTTAAATTAGTGGGGAAGGAATGATGTAAATTAATTAACAATAAGATTCCAGAATGAAACTGGGAATATATTATCACCACAGACTGCTTTATTCCTTTAAAGATTTCACAAATCTATAGATGTATGTTTTTTTGTTTTTTTTGGGTTTTTTTTTATTGATTTCAGAGAGGAAGAGAGAAGGGAGCGAGAGATAGAAACATCAATGATGAGAGAGAATCATTGATCAGCTGCCTCCTGCATGCCCCACACTAGAGATTGAGCCCACAACACAGGCATGTGCCCTTGACCAGAATCAAACCCAGGACCCCTCAGTCTGCAGTCCGACGCTCTATCCACTGAGCCAAACCAGCTAGGGCTGTTTATTGTTTTTTAAATTTGTTTTGTTTTGTTTTTGTTTGTTGTCTTTTTGCACCTACCATAACATACCTTTGGAATGTCAGGGTAACCTTTTTTTGCCCAGACCCCTCAGGGCACAACCACTGCACTAGAGCAGAGTCCATAGAACCCTTCATAGTTATCTTGTTTTCCCATATACTCTCTCTATATGCTGTAAAATTCTTAACTGTTACCCACAAACATAAAAGATGTCTATTCTTTTTACTTTTTATCCAATCTCAGAGATTTCCCCACTTTGCTTTCTCCCATCTTCCTAATCTGTCGTCACCAGTGGATTCATGTAAGCCCCTTACATCTTCTCCTTTAATACTGGTGTATAAAATAAGTGGTAAAGCTTCCATTACCTGGAGCATTTTCTCAATCCATTGAGATTTTGTTTCCTGGCAATTCCCATGTTTGGCTCAAAAAAAACTAATAAAAATTCTCTACAGGTTTGAACATTTCTTTCATTGACATATGGTAAGAGTATGTTTAATTTTTTAAGAACCTGCCAACTGTCTTCTAAAGTGGCTGTACCATTTTGTATTACCAGCACTAGCTAAGATTTCTTATTGCTGCACATCCTTGACAGCGTTTGGTGTTATTAGTATCCTGGGTTTTGGTCATTCTAATATGTATGTAGTGTTAGCTCATTGTTTTAATTTGTATTTTCCTGATGACATATGATGTGGAGTAGCTTCTCATATGCTTATTTGCCAGCTGTATATCTTTTCTGGGGAAGACTACTATAGATTTTTAATGTTAATTTTATATCCTGCTACTTTGTTAGATTATCTTACCGCTTTAAGTGGTTTTTCTCATTTATTTCCATTTATTATTTTGTGTGTGTGGTGTTTTTTTTCCCAGAAGATGCTGCATTTGGTGTATACACAGGGTAAGGTGAAATAGTTTTACAGTTGTATGTGAAAGTTTATTCTTGTATTATTATTTATTAATTACTGTATTATTTTTCCATAAGAACAACTGTAAACCTACCTTTGTCCCACCCTGTATTTAAACTTAAGAATGGGAGATTTTAGAGTTTCCTGTGTGAGAGTGGCAAGGAAGGGAGGTTCAGCAATTGTAGGGTGATCTGATTGGACCCTTTCCTGGGGACTCCAGATTCAGTATCATCCAGTCTTGTCGTTTGGGAGTCAAATTTCTAAGAAAAGGCTTTTTCAGTCTCCTGCCCAAAGGTATATATAATCCTAGCTGCCAGCATTCTTTGAGCTAGGTTGGAGACATCTGGGAGTGTGAACATTTAGGGTACAGTCTTCCACTGTACATAAACCTTTGCTTAATCCCTCTTTTTTCCATATAGGACCCACGCTTAACAAGGCTTAGTTTCCTCTGAGTAGAGATCCTGTTTTACCCTCCCCATATAACACTCCTCTAGTCAGGAGCAGATCCCAATTTTGTGGGACCTGAAATTTATGCAATTTGGGGGCTTTAAGAGAAAGAATAAAAAGTACATTTGTTTTAGGAATTAACATGACCATTAAAACACATTTCTTGGGCCCCCTCCCAGGGCTTTGGAAGGGGCTCCAGCAAATGCCAGGCCCTGAAGTTAAAGATTACTTCATTGCCTGGTAAATCTAAATAACCTCCAATCTTCTCCAATATGGGGACAGAAAATTGCTTAGCAGTGTAGAATTGGGGAGGGGTTTGGTAGTCTAAATCATAAACATGATTAGAATCAAAAAGATTTTCACCCCAACTTTCTTGAGGTACCTTGTGCTATCAATTTCTAAGCCTTTTAGGGGAACTCCCTCCCTGGCTGGCCAACCTCCCCCATCCCTCCCCGGCCCTGATTGTGCACCGGTGGGGTCCCTTGGCCTGGCCTATGCCCTCTTGCAATCTGGAACCCCTTGGGGGATGTCAGAGAGCTGTTTTCAGCCTGATCCTGCATACCAGGCCGAGGGACCCCACTGGTGCATGAATTTGTGCACTGGGCCTCTAGTCCTAATATAATAAACTAGAGGCCCAATGCATAAATTAGTGCAAGAGTAGGCTTTCCTTCCCCTGGCTGCCGGCACCGGCTTCCCTCTGGCACCCGGCACCCCGGCTTCCCTCAGGCCACCAGCAGGCACCTGGGACCCGGGCTTCCCTTAGGCCGCCAGCAGGCACCCAGGACCCGGGCTTCCCTTGCAGCCCTGGCTTTGTCCAGAAGGTCATATGGAAGGACATCCGGTCTAATTAGCATATTACACTTTTATTATTATAGAAGGCTAATATGCAAATCAACCAAACTGGCGGAACGACTGGTCGCTATGATGCGCACTGACCACCAGGGGGCAGATGCTCAATGCAGGAGCTTCCCCCTGGTGGTCAGTGTGCTCCCACAGGGGGAGCACCGCTCAGCCAGAAGCCAGGCTCATGGCTGGTGAGTGCAGCGGCAGTGGCGGGAGTCTCTCCCGCCTCCACGGCAGCGCTAAGGACCCCTTGGGGGATGTCTGCCTGCTGGCTTAGGCCTGTTCCCCCTGTCAGTGGGACATCCCCCAAGGGGTCCCGGACTGTGAGAGGGTGCAGGCCGTGCTAAGGGACACCACCCCCAGTGCACGAATGTAGTGTGGGCCTCTAGTTGTATATATTTATTGGCCCTTTGTGTTTCCTCTTCTATGAATAACCTGTTCATATAATTTACCCATTTTTCTAATAAGTACTGAAGGGAATCAGAACACACAATATCTCATTTTGGCATACTGATTGAGCTGAAGGGAACTGAGAAAAGGAAGGGCTCTCTGAACTCCCTCTTTCTAACACAGCATAAAATTTCCCATGAAAAGGGTATCCTCCCTGTACAAGAAGAGAACATTCTTATTACTAGAGACAGGAGTTGAAATCAAAATTAATCTGCATAAACAAACTTACTAAAATAACCCTTGTTTTTAATTAGTTATTCCCATATATTTCCTAGTCCATTTCCTACAATTTATCAACCCTAGCCCAAACCTCTTTTTCCTACCATGTCAGTCTTCACAATTTATCTTTTTGTGTGTGTTTTTTAATGGCATGCAAGCTCTCAAGCCTATCTGCTTCATTGGGTTTTTATTTCTTATATATGAAGGCCTCCATGTACATATAAAAATATTAACAGCAAAAAAATTGTATGTTTTGCTCCTGTTAATGTCTTTCGTAAGTTTAGTTGTTAGGCCCAGCCACAGAACCTAAGGGTAGAGAAAATATTTCCCTCCCCTATAGTGGCTTACATTTTTCTTATTGAATAGTCTACCTTTATCCATTGATTTGAAATGTCATATTTATTAACTACTAAAGCTTATTTGGGTATTTTTTGGTTTATTGGTTTTCTATTTTTGCCCATCAATTTGACATCTTATTACCAGCTTTTCAAAACTGCACTTCACATGGGAAAATATCCTTGCAAGAAATTAAATGGGAATTTATTAACATCATAAAACATACCAATTAGAGATTGAAATAAAATGTCCACTTTAATAATAATCACACACGTTTACTTACATTTATCTGAAAATTATGAGGACAACTTGTGCATGTCACATTCATATTATTATCCATATAATAACAACTACACGTAATCATTTACTTACCTATATCAGGATAACATACAAAGTTTGTGTTTAAGACGTCTCAGTTAAAAAGAAACACTAAATAAGAAAAATGAATTTCCAAAGATTCAGTTATTAACAATAAAAATTATTCCTAAATTTCTCACATTTTGACAACTTTGAATTATACTTACATGCTATCATTTCCAGAAAGCATAAATTACAACAAGGGTCACTGTCAGGTTGATATATATATATATTTTAAAGCTTTTTTAAAAATATGCTATTATTATGCTTTAACATCACTTGATTTATTCTTGGCACATATGGCATCTTGGAAAAAAAATACACTTTGCCAATTTTATGTTATTGTGCAAGTATAAGAGAAAGAGCACACAATTTAGGAGGCAGAGAGACCTATGTTCAATTACCAGCTTTGTCCAAAGTTGTGTTGTTTGAGGCTGGTCAGTTACTTTTTGGCACTGGAGCCAGGATTAAATTAAACAATGCACATTTAAAAATTCATGGCATGGGACTAAATGAATAATAGATGCTTTCCCCAATTTGTTCATATTGAAGCAATAGTAAAATATCAAAGTCTTATGTTTTGGTACAATTTGAAAAACTAAAAAAATTAAATCAATGTGTTTTGGAAAACTGCACTTTTAAGAAATAAAACCTTCAGTGGGTTTAAGTATTTCTTAATAAAAATTAGTGCATACTATACCCTTTGAAAAAAGTACGATAAAATGGTCAATGGTTAAGGACTTTTGGTTTTCTTTTGTGCTACTGATATAAAAAATAATGGCTATATTTAAGGCTCGTTAAGTGATTGTTTGTAGTTGCCCTGAACCAAATTTATATTCTTGATGTTGCACTATCAACTGAAACCGACCTACAGCCTTAAATGACTATCATAGAGAAATGCCCATGATATTTTACATTGAACAATCATGGCCTTCTTACTGATTTTAACTAAAGGTTCATTTGGTCACATGTGGCAGTACAGCTTGTCTGTCATTAAGGATTATTCTTATATACACAATCACAAACCCATCTTTCTCATGCTAAATACTTGGTGTTTAGAAGATCTAAGATTCCTGAAAATTAAATTTAAATTGTCACAGGGAATAGCTCCTCTAGACAGCAATGCTTCCATCCCTATCTTGAATCTTTTTCTTTCCTATCTGGACTACCTAGAAAATCATCCTTACAAGTATGACTCAAATCCCCTCCTTAGGAAACTTTCTCTAACCCAATTTCACATCCCTCCATTTATGTCCCTGACACTCACTCATGCGTAATTCATGTCAACTTCAATCTGCATATATTATCCACATTTTGTTTGCCTTCTACTTCCAGTTAGGATGTAGTCTCTTTGACTTTTTAAGCTTCCACAGTGTTTAGCACAATGCTGTGCATGTATGTATGTGACTGTGTGTATGCATGTGGGTGTGTGCACATGTGTGTTGAGTGACTAAAAAACTAAAGAACCTGGGTGGGTGGAGGGTAGGAAAAGTTTCATAATTTTTCAGAAATCAATTGCTGGACCTTCCTAAAACTGAAAATCTGATTTCCAAAGCTATTTCAGTTTGGTCTTGGACATGTCAATAATAAAAAAGCAGTGAAAAAACTTTTTAAGAAAACCTTTATGAACTATTCCAAAAGATTTTTTAATAATTAAGAGCACCAAACCAAAACATTTTACTAAATAGTGGTATAATCTTTCTTATAACTTTACAAATGTAAACTTCCTTTCATTCAGGACAAAGAATACTGAACAGGAATAGGTGTTGTGAATCAGGATTAAAAAGGCAATTCACTCTAAGTCAATATCTAATGCACATTTTTCCATTATTTTGAAAAGTCTTCATGTGTATGTTATGTTAAATAAAAGAATGGTTCAGACCAGGATGTTGTAGATCTCTATAGTTGTTTTGATACTATAAAATATGACATATATTGAAGCTGCTATTTCACAAGAAAAATTTTGTTTATAATAGCTGTTAACATTAAAACAGGATATAATAAAATTATTCTCAATGTGTATATTTTTCAGGTTTGCCTGACAGTGTCCTTTTGAGAAAGCTGACAATTTGTAGTTAGATTACAGACATTTGAAATTCACTTTTATGATTACAAATATTACACACACATAATAACAAACAACAATATATAACATCTCTTTACTGAAGCACTCTGCAATTTACATTTAAAGCTTTGCAATAAAACAAACTCCATTGTACTTTTTTAAGTAAAATAATACAACACATAATGTATGTGATAATTACATTAAGAATAAATAAAATGAAGTATAAAAATTCTGTATCAGAACAATGAATTGTTTTAGCTGTCATTCTAAATCTTAGTTTATATCTAGTTCTACTGTATTTTAAACCCAAGAATCTTTACTTTTAAATAATATACTAAAAATATCAAGTTTGGAGTATAAACATAACACTTCATGCCCTTTTTCTAGGTCATCTAGGAAATAAGACAAATGGGAGGCAAGGATAGTTCTCTTACTACAAAATGCCTCCTTGCTTTCCTATATATTTTTATGTCACTTCTAGAGCAAATATTACAAGATGACAGCTTTGGGAAATTATAATCTTACTTAAGAGGTTTATTATTTGGAGGAAAGAAAAAAATTAAACTAAGAACTTTCTTTTTTGGCTTATTCATTCTCAAACTTTTTTTCCCCCCTCTAATATACAACAGTAGTATAATAGCACTTTTTAAAATGCTCACCATTAATCATTTTAACCAGCACAAAGTGAACTGGATTAATTTATAGAATTAACCTAAATAGGTTATTAGAATAGGTATTAGGGTGAGGTCCTAGAATTTGTTACACGTAGGGCTAAACTTGCAAGAGATCGCATAGCAAAAGTAGAAACTTTGTGACATATCCCGGCTTTTGCAATATAGTTAGAAGCCAACCGAAAAAGCCTTTCAGCACCAAAGGTGTTGAAGTGCCCAGGAAGCACCTTCTCTACCAGACCTCTGTCCACTAGTTCTATCAGACGTTCACAGGTTCCAACATAGTCACTTATCCTGCTGTATGGGAGCCAGTCAATCAGCGATCCATCATACACAACATCTCCACTGAAGAGAATCTTTCGGTCTTTGTCATGTAAGCAAATACTGCCCCTGGAGTGACCGGGCATGTGCATAACAGTGAGCTGTCTGTCACCAAGGTTGATTACATCCCCTGTAAATAGAAACAGAGTTTGCAGATAAACATGTTGCATATATGACTTCAATTAAAGAATAGAAGAACATTTAAATGGTTTCAAAGAGGTTGGGAAGGGTGACATTTGTTTTATTTTAATTTTAAAAACACCTTATTTCATATATGCATAAGCCATGGACACATAATAGTATGGGGAAGGCCTAGAGTGGGGCAAGGATTGGGTGGAGGGGGGCAAAAAGGGAGAAATTGGGAGACATCTATAATACTGTCAACAATAAAAATAAATAATAGGGGGAAAAAGACCTAAACAAAAGAAGAGATATTTCATGTCCATTGACTGGATTATTTCTAGGCAATGGAAAAGAATAAATTATTAATAGATACAACATGGATGAATCTCCAAAACATGATACCAAATAGTAGACACAAAAGCTATATATTATATAATTGCATTTGTAGAAACTTCAGAAAAAATAAACTATAGTGATACAAAACAGATCAATGGGGCGAGGGGCTGGGAGCAGAGTCTGGCCTGGTCTTGTCTTGAATCCCAGTAATTACACTGAGATGGGATCAGACACTCCCAAATTTCCCAGCATTCCAGTCACGGCCAGATTCCTTTACAGGATAAAAAAAATTTTTTTTTAAAGTTTCTGGAAGCTTAATTCCAAGTAGTCAGAAATTTTACAGTAAGGTGCCTTGGGTTGGAAGTGTTTTCATCTGTTTTGCTGGAACTCTGGTTTCATTCAATCTGGAAATTTACATCCCTTAGCTGTGGGATATTTTCTGGAATTATCTGTGCTGTGCTTTCTTTTCCTCCACTTTCTTTCTTTTGTCTGTGCTGCTACTATTCCAATGTTGGATTTTCTAAACTGTTCCTTTACTGGTTTTTCCTAGTTTTCATTTTACCTATCTGCTCTTTTTGTAACTTTTCAATGTTATCTTCTGGATCTTCTACTAAGTTTTTTGGATGTCTTCAATTCCAAGAGCCCTTTTCTTGTGTGTGTGTGTGTGTGTGTGTGTTTCTGTCTCTTGCTTATTTTGAAAGCATCCCATTGCCTCTTGGATATCTTGAATGCAATACTTTCTGTAGTCCCCTGATGATATTAATGATAATCCTACCATCCAAGTTGCTTTATGCTATTTGTTTTAGTATTTGATCTCGTTAGAGAATTTTCAGATTTTTCATAATGCTTGGTTGCCTAAGAGGAAAAGGCTGCTAGAAACACATGCATGGGACCTAGTGACCTATAGGCTTAACTGCAGAAAGATCAAGCCAAGGATTAGAGATCAGCATCTTCGTCTTTCCTCTATGTCTGAGCAGATATCTCAGATCCGATTCTTTCAACTTTCTAGGAGGGAGGAGGTGGGGGATAAATGCCTGGCTCTCATTGTCTGGGAACTAGGAGGGAATGCACACACTTCCTATTTTCCATTCTGAACATCTGTACTCAATAGTACTTGCCATCCCTCAAGTCAAGAAACCCCTCTGCTTTCCTCTCTCCAGAGAACAAACTAACTGGATGGGCATTCACTTACTAAGAAGGGTTCTAGAGTTTTAACAGCCTCTTAAATGGCTTTCAACCAATTCTCATTTTAGTAGTATTCTTCCCTTAGCCTCCACTTAGGTACCAGCTATTGCTAATTCCTTTTAAGACTCCTGCAGTGCACACTGGATTGGCTCTTGATTTCCCTTGCTGGAACAGGATAAAACTGCTCACTCAGTCATCATAATTAGTACTCTCCAGCATCTGAAACAATTCCACGGTCCCTTTATAGTAGTCTTAGTGGGGTTTTAGAAGGAAGTCAAATGAGATGTGCTTATTCAATCAGCTTCCTTTCTGGAATCTTTTTTTTTTTTTAATTGTCCCTAAATGATTCAAGTCCACCTGAAACAGCTGCTCAAAAACAAAATAGGTTTACAGTTGTGAGTATGCAAAACAGTTTATTTTTGTATTATTGTTTTCCATACGATCAACTATAAACCTACTTTTGCCTAATTCTGTATGTTGGTGACTCTGGGCAAATAGTTTAAATGTGCATAATAGGAACCAAAATGCCTGCACTTCATATCACTTGAATATTGTCAAAAATAGGCAAAATGTGTACCCATTCAAGAATAATGTGCTATATCAACCTATGATTTATTGTTATTTTATTAGAGGAAGACACTATTTCACTAGTCGTAGGGCGAGTTGTTTTCCATCAGAGATGGTGCACTGTATGATGATCTCTCCTTGTCCCTCATTTACAAGTCAGCTTTTGGATTAGTAATACAGTACACAGATTTATGTTTCCCCAAGACAGGTGATCATCCATTCACTTAAATGAAATGTAATAAAATAATGACTTCAGCTTCCTTATGTTCTAACCAAAGCAATGAAGAAGTTGTGCTGTTTGGGTATGTGCTGTTGATGTGTGTGCATAACTGTGTATGCACTTTTAATATAAATATTTTATATCTCCTTCCAGGCATCCATATTATGATAATAGCAAGTTAGCAGACCATACCATGCAGAAGAGACAGGAAATTAATATTCCCCAGAAAAGAGGAAATTAGAGACTACTTGAGAGGGTGAGGCATTCAGCTCCTAACAACAAAACAAAACAAAAAACACAAACACAAAAAAACACCACATACCTTTTGATTTAACACAGTATGATCACCTTCAAAGTGTTTGGTAAATATCAAGCTTTCTTTTCACACCTTCAAAGTCTTAAAATACCACATAGGTAGCTCACAGGCCCCTTGCAGCTCCAAAATACTTTAATTATAATTATAAAGCTATAACTGGTATTTAGTAAACCTGGATTCTAGTCCCACCTCTTTGCCAAAGTGGCTGTGTACATGGGATAGTCAGGCCTGCCTGGACTATTTATCTGTGAAACAGTTATTCTATCACTCTTTCACCATTGATTGCTGGCAGAGAGCAAATGGAAATGAATCAAAAGTAATTTATTCATTTAAACAATTTAAATATATTTTAAATACTAATGTCAACATTTTTTTGGTCTGGATGCCAGAAAAAATTTAGTCTGAATACCCATCAACTACATGGAAATCTTACCTTTACTAGTAAAAGTATCAATTTTATCAAGCTATATAGTAGTTAAAACTACATTTAATGCAAATTTATGTTAAACTTACATTAAATATACAATAATGTAAAAGGACATTAAATTTACATTAAATGTACCTTACTTTCATCTCAAGTTGCTAGGTAATATAAGACTACCATCTAAACCAGTTTTCTTTATATTTAGATTTAAATTTTTAATGAAAGGACTTTTTGGGTGGGGTGTAAGGTATAGAATCGTGCTTTCTATGTTTTATATTTCAAGTGACCAGGATCTCATCTGCAAGACAAAATTATTTTTGTAGAATATTTCATTATTTGTCATATTGGCCGGTCATACAATCAGCCTTATTGTATTGTAGCAACTTGATTTTTTTTTTACCTCAGCGAATGATGTTTTAATAAAGTGGAAATTAAAATGGTTTTAAGAATAGAATGGAAAGGAGGGGATTTCACATTCTACTCAGAATTACCATAATATATTTATGGAGTAGGATTTATGTATGATCAGCATGCTTTGAGCTGTGGTGCCTTGGTTCAAATCCTAACTGTTGCCACTGTCTTGCTCTGAGCACTCTAGGCATGCCATTTAACTGGGTGTCCGCTGGCTCACTTCAAATGTGTTGTGTGGATAAAATGAAGTCAACAAAGTATTCTAAAAAGAATAAAGGAAATTAATATACAAATGGTACTGCTGTGTCTAATTACCTCAATTATTTAAGTGCCTGCATGGGATTGGGAAGACTGGGGTCCTACTCTTATTTCATTCCATTAGTTTCTCTCTGAACCCTATCCTACCTTTCACAGAGGCCCAAGGGTATCTACACATTAGTCCACTATCACCGGAAATAACCTCCTTATTCATCTTTCTCAGGCCTTGCTTTCAACCAGACAATATCTGTCATAGCGTAGACTCAAGACATATTCTACTCGTGTACCCTACCAAGATTTTTCTCTCGGGAGGCAACATCAAGAACAGGAATCTATCTGGAAGATAAGGCTGCACGAGCAGATTGGAACCACAGTTCTCTAGAGGTTTTCTAAGCCTACAGGTGGGCATTTCTCATGGCCGATGGTCACCGAGCAGATGAAGTCAGCAGCTCTCAAAAGCACAGAGCATGACTTGCACTCTGTGAGGTGTCGTTCTTCAAGTCTTCTCGCTGGAAAAGCGCCTGAAAATGTCAGACAGGTCTTCGGGAAAAGAACGGAACATTTCTCATCACAAGTGCAGCGCTACTGTATCTTACACAAGACACGGACTAGGGGGTGGGGCCGGCTTTCACCGAGTGCTCAGCATTGCTACTCGGTGCCCAGGCTGGTCTCCGGTAGGGAAGGCTGCCGTGGACTTGGCTCCGGTGGAGTGGGCTGGAACTCGGGGATGGGAGAAACACGGGTGGCGTTTCTGCGACGTGACAAGCCCCTAGCAGTCATGCACCTGGGCGACATGCATCCATCCCTCGGGCAGTTTCTCCCCAACCCCCTCCCTGACGGAGAACGCGCGCGCCCGCGAGGGCCCATTACCATCCTGCAGGATGAGGCTGGGCTGCACCGCCTGCACTCGGAACTGCCGGGCCCTCCAGCCGGGGCTGGGCGCCCGCACCACCTCGCTGTCGGACAGCCAGGTCACCGTCTCGAAGTTGTCTCCGCGAGCCAGGGCCTCGGCCTCGGCATGGTGCACGGCCACCCGGTCAAACTGGTACAGGCCGCCCGAGTGGTCGAAGTGCACGTGGGTGGCCAGGGCCAGCAGCG